GTTTTCTATGCACAGGATTATATCATTAGCAAATAGGAAAAGTTTTATTTCTTCCTTACCAACTTGATGCCACTGATTTCCCTTTCTTGCCTTACTGCCCTGGCTAGGATTTCCAATACAATGTTGAATAGAAGTGACAGAGGGCATCCTTGCCTGGTTCCTGTTTGGAAAGGGAATGGTTCAATCTCTCTCCATTGAGAACAATGTTGGCTGTTGGTTTTGCATATACACCCTTTATTATGTTGAGGAATTTCCCTCTATTCCTATTTTGCTGCGAGTTTTTTTTTTTTTTTTTTAAATAAGGAATGGGTGTTGGATTTTATCAAATGCCTTCTCTGCATCAATTGATATGATCATATGGTTCTTTTCCCTTGTTTTATTTATGCGATGGATGATGTTGATTGCTTTTCTAATGGTGAATCATCCCATTCTTGAGTACCTGGTATGAATCTCACTTGGTCATAATGTATTATTTTTCTGATATGTTGTTGGAGTCTATTGGCTAGGATTTTGTTGAACATTTTTGCATCTATATTCAGGAGGAATATTGGTCTGTAATTTTCCTTTTTAACAATATCTTTGCCTGGTTTGGGTATTAAGGTTATGCTTGCTTCATAAAATGAATTTGGGAGAATTCCGTCCTTTTGTATGTTCTGAAACGGTTTGAGTAGGATTGCTGTCAGTTCTTCTCTTGAATGTTCAGTAGAATTCTCCAGTGAAACCGTCTGGGCCAGGGCTTTTTTTGTTGGTAATTTTTTAATGACCTGTTCAATTTCTTCTTTTGTTATGGGTCTGTTCAACTTTTCCACCTCAGTCTGTGTTAGTTTAGGTAAGTAGTATGTTTATAGATATCTATTTTTTCTAAATTTTCAAATTTGTTGGAGTACAGTTCTTCATAGTATCTTGATATTATCCTTTTTATTTCAGTTGGTTCTGCTGTAATGTCACCCAATTCATCTCTTATTCATGTTATCTGTATTCTCTCCCTCTTTTCCTTTGTTAAATTTGCCAGTGGCTTATCAATTTTATTAATCCTTTCAAAGAACCTACTTCTAGTCTTGCTGATTTTTTCTACTGTCTATTTTCTATTTCATTGATTTCTGCTCAAATCTTTATTATTTTCTTTCTTCTGGTGACTGTAGGCTTTTTTTGCTGCTCTTTTCTAATTGTTGGAGATTTTGGGTTAAGGGGTTGATTTTGGTTCTTTCTTTTCTGTTGTGTACATTTATTGCTGTGTTCCAAAGATTTTGGTATGTTGTGTTTTCATTCTCATTCGATTCAAGGAATTTTTTCATTTCATTTTTTATTTCTTCTATTACCCACCCATTTTCTTTTCTTTTGTTCTTTTTTATTGTGATTTGGGTGAAGATTTACAAAGCAAATTCACTTTCCATACAGGAGTTCACATATACTTTGTCTCATGTCATTGACCACAGT